GAATTTTTAATGAATTTTTTTCAATTGCCAAGAATTTATTTTTTTTCCATGCCACCTCTCCTCATCATTGGAAAAGAAAAAAAGAAAAACAAAACCCTTATAATAAGCATAATCAAGGGAAACAAATCCCCATATTTGCCATGCCCAGGAGTGTGTTTCATTCTGCATGTTAGTGTATCACCATCCTCTCTGTTATAGCATGGGTAGCATTCTTTATCATTACTCCTTTGGAATCATGGTTGACCATTGCTTTCATTCTTTAGTCTTATAGAACTGTTCTTTTTTGCAGTATTGATGTTCTAGTGCAAATTACTCTCCTGGTTCTGCTCACTTCCCTCTGTATCAGGTTGTACAAGTCTTCCCAGGTTCCTCTGAAACCAACTTTTCATTTCTTAATAACAACAGTAGACCATTAGATTCACTTACCACAATTTCTTCATCCATTCTCTGGTTGATGGCACCCCCGTGAAAATCAGTTTTTAAAATACTTTAACACTATTAGCTTCTTGAAAACAGGGATTATATCCCAGATTTTAACCTTGGCAGGTCCAACTCCAAGACCCTCTGAATCCAAACTTCACAGAACAAATCCCTTTAATAAAAGGCCTTTCTGGTAGCTTTCTCAGCCCAGACCATGGTACTATCATCCTGATCACCCAGATAATAGTAGAGGAATGCCTGGACTCTCATTGACTTGTTTATTCCCATTGAGGGGGCACACAAGGAATAGATCATCTGTCTTTTTCCTTTCACACATCTATGTCTACCTGGCGGGAGGCACCCATTTCTATGGAAATAGCTAGCATACAAGCCTGCAACAGTAATTATGGAAGGATTGCTGCATAGTAATCTAGTTTTTAGAATAGCCATAGGACAATAAGTTCAGAGCTAGAAGAGACCCTGGTGACAATCTAGATGGGGAAACTGAGGCCAGGGGAGGTTGTGACTTGTCTTATGTTTCACAGGTAATAAGTAACAGAGCCAGAATTTAAAACCAGGTTCTATGGCTCTAAATCCAGAATATTTTCCACTGCACAATGTTATAACATAGTAAAACATCTTGAGTTGGGAGTCAAGAAATGGATGTGTTGTCCTGTCTTCTGTAGTAACTTGGAAGACAATCTATTGCCTCAGAAAGGTCCAGAAAAGGGCAATGTTCTTATTATCCATCCTCCTGAATGTCTTACCCAGGATCCACCCATCCATAGATTCCATCACAGTCTGCCGGGACTTTGCTAGTCATTCCCTCATTCCAATTCAATGGTAATACCAATAATTCTTGTGTGCCTCTGCTTTCATGCCATTATATCAGTCCTCAGAACAACTTGGGAAGCTGTTTCTACAGCTCACCCTCACACCCCAGGGCACAACGGTACAAAATTCACTAGATTCACAATTAAACCTGGTGTTTGTAAACTGTCCAAGCTTAGCGAATACTGGTGCAATAGACCAGGGCTAACATTGATTATCAAGGATGGGCTCGTGAAAGGGCCAGAGATGTTAATGTTACACAATGGACAACAGATAGACTAGGCAGAGACCTTTCCCCTCTCTTATAGCCTTCTTAAGAAACCTGTCAAAATTAACGCATGCCCCCACCTCCCCATCTTCTAAGCCCCAGTGTAATAAGACCAGCTCTCTACTTGGAAGCACATGTAACATTGTACAAGAAAACTTCTTAAAAGGAGGAACGCAAGAATGAGCATCCAATGAGCCCAAAGAAGTACATAAGTTGTTCTGCAACTTGTAGTTGTTATTAAACTATTAATAAGTCAAGAAAGAAAGAGAAAAAAGAGAAAGAAAGAAAAAAAGAAAAAAGGAAGGAAGAAAGAGAAAGAAAGAAAGGAAAAGAAGGAAAGAAAGAAAGAAAAGAAAAGAAAAGAAAGCTGTTGACCTTCTAGGGACACTCTCCAGCTTCACAGTGTCCTCCTACTTTGTGATGCCCATACCTGAACACAATAGTCCAGTTGTGGTCTGAGTACAGAGAAACTATCACCCCCTTATTCCTTATGCTTCTCAATGAATCCTGAGGTCAGGTTAGCTTTTTTGGTTGCTACATCATTCTGCTAAATCACATAGCACTAAAATAGTCCATATCTTTTCTTGGATAGACTGCTATCTCTCCATGCCTAATCTAGACCATATGCCCCCTGAAGGCAATTTCATTATTTTTCTGTGTGTCCCCTAGCACAGTGCCTAGCATAGTAGTGGTCCCCGCTTAATTAATTGTGGTTTAATTGCTTCTACAGCATAACTAAAAGCTTGGCACATAGTAGACCTTTATTTTTAGGCAATTGGGGTTAAGTGACTTGCCCAGGGTCACACAGCTAGTAAGTGTCAAGTGTTTGGTCTGAGGCCGGCTTTGAACTCAGGTCCTCCTGATTTCAGGGCCAGTGTGCTATCTACTGCACCACCTAGGTGTCCGCATATAGACCTTTAATAATTTCTACTTGACTGTTCACTATCTCTCAAACACTTCATGTACTTGTCAACTCAGTTCAGGATTAGGCTTATGATATCTCCTATACTTAGATTTCCCTTTTCCTTATTCCCACCCGTTGAATCATACTCAACCTTGCAGACCCTGCTCATCCACCAGCTCCTCCATGAAACTTTCTTTGCTATCCCTTGTCCTGCCCCTACCCTCTATAGAAATTATCCTTCTTTCTGGGATTTCTGTAGCAAATTGGTTGAATCTCCCTTAGGAATGCCTATTTCATTTTGTATTTTAGCTATTAGTGTATTACCAATATTTCCTCCTGGATTGAGCTCCTTGAAGGCATGGGTCATTGTACTCATCTTTGTGTCTTCCTGAGCACCCAGCATGATGCTCAGCATCAATAGGTGCTAAATAAAGGTTTTTTGAACTTGAATTTTCTGTTGAAATTCTCAGTTCTGAGCTGTATCAGAGAAGCCAGACTCTTTCCACCACTTCCTAGGTAATTAGGAAAAGAAAAGGGCTAAAGAATTCTCTACAGTCTGTGATGCTTTTTTTTTTAGAAATTTATGAAATAAAACAGGTATTTTCATAATATACTAGAATAAAAAAAGATTGTACATGAAACCCTGTATCTATTATGTACAACTGTTTCTTTTAAATATATAAAAAGTTATCATGTAACTTTCTTTTTTTCTTTTTTTACTCTTACCCCCGACCCTGCCCTAAAGATGGCTACTATTAGACCCAAATACATATATATATTTATATGTAAAATCATTCTATACATACTTCTTTTTCTGGATGCAAATATGATAGGTATGTTTCATGTTTTTCACATTTTCTTGTAATATCTTTCTTTATATTTAGGTCATGTATACATTCTGACCTTATCTTGGTAAATGGTGTAAGATATTGGTCTATGCCCAATTCCTGGCAGACTGCTTTCCAGTTTTCTCAATAATTTTTACCAAATAATGAATTCTTATCCCCAAAACTTGTCTTTATACTTGTCAAATACAAGGTTACTATAGTAATTTGGTACTATAAATTCCATGTGTAGTCTGTTCCACTGATCTACCTTTCTATTTCTTAGCCAGTACCAGATAGTTTTGATAATTACTACCTTATATAGTTTAAGATTCTGTACTGCCAAACCTCCTTCCTTTATATTTTTTTTCATTAATTCTTTCTTGCTTTTCTTGGGGGTGATATAATAAAATTAAATAAATAAAATTAAATTTTTTACATTATACACAAATATATTACATATTGTTATATTAAATATATATTGTCTAAAGTTATATTGTTTAAAGTTATATATATTATATAAATTAAATAAATAATTAAAAATTAAATGAAATTTTAAAAATTCTTTTTTATATTCTTGACTTTATTTTATTTTTTATTTATGGAATAAAACAAGTATTTCCGTAGCATAGTACAATGAAAAAGATGATTGCATATGAAACTGCAAATCTACTGTGTATAACTTGCTATTCCTTTCAAATATATAACAAAATTATCATGTAAATTTATTTTTTTTCCCTCCCTCCACCTCTCTCCCAAGAGATGGCTACCATTAGACACAAATATTTATATATGTGTGTGTGTATGTGTATGTATGAATGTACACACATATGTATATATACATATATATATAATTATTCTATACATACTTCTATTTATCAGTTCTTTTTCCGGATGCAGATAGTGTCTTTTCACTTTTTGTTCTTCCAAATGAATTTTGTTATTATTTTTCTAATCCAGTAAAATAAATTTTTGGCAATTTAATTGGGATGGCATTGAATATATAAATTAGTTTAGGTAAAATTATCAATTTTATTATATTGGCCCTGCCTACACACGCGGCTTCCTCAGCATGACTGATGCAGAGTCATGATGAAGTAGAGGACAGATTAACTGACTTGTGTCAGAAATACCTTGGTTCAAATCCTACCTCAGATACTCGTTAGCTGTGCATGATCCTTGGTAAGGGAGTTAGGATTCAGTGGCCTCTCTAGCTTCCTGAGATCAGATGGCCAGTCATCATGTTACCATTTGCCTGGTAGATGGCAATTGGATTAGGGGACCTGATAGAGCATAAAGGCCTGGCGTGGTACAGAGGAGCAAGGGAACCACAGTTTAAATTTCCCAGGCCAGTGACCAGGTCAGCTAAAGTTTGGCTTCTGTGTTTTTGTTCATGTTGACCCTGTGGTTTTCATGGGCTCTACCCCAGTCATCTCCACCTGTTGAAGTCTTTCCCTCCTTAATGACTCACTTCATCCTTGAAACTTTCTCTGACCCTAACTGAAAGTGAGCTCCTCCCGCCCAGATTTCTCAAAGCCTTCTTTTTGAGTGGTCATTTCTTCACTCTTTCCCCACAAGCCCCCTGCTATTAAGTTGTAAATTCCTCCTGAGCAGCAGGGTCTGTGTTGCATCTATCTTTGTAGAGCCAGCACTTTACACTGCGCCCCGTACATAATAAGGACATAGTCAGTGCAACTAAAGGCTTAGCTCGTTTTAAGTTTACAAAAATGACCATTTCCTACTGTTTTTACAGGTAAAGGAGGAGGCAAAGCCCCTGAGTCAAGTTGAATTCTTCAGTTTCTACTTCTTCAATTTGGAGATTTCAGTATATGCAGGTAAGAAATTTATCTCATATCTACTTCCCACTTACAGATTATATGTTAGAGTTCCTAGCTCTAGATCTATTTTACCATGATGGTATAAAATAAAAGTTTATTACATCACCTCTAAGAAAAGCAAAAGAGTTAACTATATTTTACGAATTATATAGTTAAAAAAATTATTAATTCTGATTTAGTGGACAAAGCTGGGCTGCATGTGGCATGTGCTGAACAAAGGAAAACTCATTTTAATATTAGCTGAAGACTATTTTAATTTACTTTCATGTAAATTTTAACATTTAAATATTGCAGTACATTCCAGTCATGATCTCAAATCCCTGATCTTCCTTTCTACCTGAAAGTGGTGTCTTCCTTATTATAGTTTTTTATATAATTTTATCTGGACCTCTCCTTGTCTTTCTACGCAGTCTGCCTTTTATCATACTTTTGTGTGTATGTATACGTGTCTTGTTTTCCTATTAGAATGTAAGCCCCTTGAGGTTAGGAACTGCATCAGTGTTTTTGTTTGATGCATAGTCCCTTGTACAGTATGGCTGTTTGTTTTATCAATGTGTTTTGAATGAAAATACAAAGTGTCCCAAAAGTTTTAATGTAATTTAAAGCCTTGAAATCTTAAATAATACCCTTTAAGCTTATATTTCATAGTTTAAATATTCATTTTTAAATATTTTATAGGTTAAAAAGCTGTAAAAGATTAAAACCATACTAAGGACTTGTGAGGTACAGCGAGGTGGCACAGTAGATAGAATGTCAGACCTGGAGTCAGAGAAGACCTGAGTTCAAATCTGGCCTCAGACACTAACTAGCTGTGTGATCCTGGGCAAGTTACTTCACCCTGTTTGCCTAAATGTCCTCGTCTGTAAAATTAGCTGGAGAAGGAAATGGAAAAACACTCCAGTATTTTTGCCCAGAAGACCCCAAATGGGGATCCCATAGAGTTATATATGACTGAACAAGAATAACAACAACAGGACTTTTGGGACACTTGTATAAGCAGTTTTAAAGAAATATCTTATAATACAATTGCCTTGGATAATCAGTTAACAGTCATCTGTTAAGCTTTTGTGCCAAAGCCCTGTGCTTAGGGGTAAAAATAAAACAAAACCAAAAAACCGTCCTTGCCCTCAAGAAACCCGCATTTTTCTGAGGTTTGACTGTAGTACCAGTAGACAGACAGGTTTTTGAATCCCACTACTCTTCTTGCCCATCAAAGTTTCCCAGGAAGCGATTATTTCTGAGAGGCAGTGTGGTATAATGGAGAGAGCACTAGACCCAGAGTGAGGACCTCTGGGATTAGTCCCCAGTTCAGACACTTCTTGTGTGATCCATGTAAGCCATGATGTAGTTCAGAGGCTGCTGTATTTGGAGTCAGAAGGAGGTGGGTTCACATCTTGCCTCTGACATATTCTAGCTGGGTGACCCTGGGCAAGTCCCTTCATCTCTCTGAACCACGGTTTCCTTCTCTGAGGTTTTGACTTCATGGTCTTGAAGGTCCTTTCCAGCTCTCAATCTATGATCTTATGAACTTCTCAGAGCCTCAGTTTTGTCGCCTGTTAGAACCATAGAATCAAAGCTTTAGATCTGGAAGGAACTTTAAAGGGCATCTTATCCAAACCTTTCATTCTATAGATGAAGAGAAAAGTAAGTAGAATAACACATACTTGTTTTATTCCATAAATTAAAAATAAAATTTAATATTAAAAACAATCCACATGTACTACCTACTTCACAGGTTGGTAAGGAAAGTGGCCCACAAACTTTAATGTGCTCTATAAACATGTGGTTTTTGTTATAATCTGTTCTAGTCCTTAAGTCTCTGTCCTTGGTAATCAGTCCATAATGTTTGCTGAAAGGTGTTAACATTTTCAGGACACTGGTATACAAAGTCACAGAAGCAATAATGTACTAAATAGTAGCCTAGTAGCTAGAAATTATGCATTTGCCTCCATAGAAAGCTCTACTGATGACCCATAAAAGAAGTGCCTTTAGGTGGTCCCAGGCCTCAAGTATTCCCAAGGAGGAACAGACCACATACCATTAGCCCAGTGGTCAGCAGACCTGAATGGCACTGAGTTGGTCATAGAGGCCTTCAGAGAAGCAGTAGCTTGAAAGGAACAAATCTTTCAGATTAATGATCTGAATAAAAATCACAGACTCAGTTTCCCTCTGAGCCTAAGGAAGAACTTTGGAGAGGATCGGAGCCAAGATGGCAGAGTGAAAGCAGTGACTTGCTTGAGCTCTCCCCCAAACCCCTCCAAATACCTGTAAAAATGGTTCTAAACAAAGTCTAGAGCAGCAGAACCTACAAAAAAGGAAACAAATTTCCAGCCCAAGACAACCTGGAAGGTTGGCAGGAAAGGTCTGTTGCACTGGGCTGGGAGAGGAGCCCAGTTCAGCGTGGGCCATGCAGGCAAAGACCAGGCCTCAGCAAACTCAGAGCAGTCCTCAGGGGACTGAATCACAGGGCAGCTGTGGCTGTTTCCAGACTTCTCAACCCACAAATGCCAAAGACAACTTAGAAGGACAGTAGGAAAGGTCTGTCAGGCTGTGGTGAGAGAGGGACTTGATCCAGCCCCAGTCCTATTGCAGCCCCAGCATGGCAGCTGCTTCTGGAGCTCTCGGCCCACAAACAGAGGGGGGATCAAGCAGCTGATCAGAGGGGGATTGTAGGGATCTCTTTGCTGGTGCTGAGGCAGGATTCTCTTGCTTTGCCTGTGCTTGGATCTGGGTTGCAGTCCTAGGTGGAGGTCCTGGGGTGAGGAGGAGTGCTGGCATGGTAGAGCTTATGGTGGTAGTGCAGAGGGAATCCTCCTCACAGTTCCAAGGCAGAAAAGAGTGCTTGTAGTCACTCCTAGACCAGAGCACAGGCCAGGAAAGGAGTAAACACCTCACCCTTGATCATACCACCTTGGAAGAACTGAAAATGTATAGGTCCCTAGAAATATCTCTGAAAACAGCTACACAAAACCCCCAAAGCTTGGGACAGTACATTCTCCACAATGGAAGCAGACCCCCCCCCCCCCTTAATAAAGAGTTTAATAGTCAAGTAATTGTCTGGAAACATGAGCAAACAGTACAAAAAAAAAGTCAGACCGTAGAATCTTACTTTGCTGACAAAGAAGATCAAAATATACAACCAGAAGACAACAAAGTCAAAGCTCCTACATCCAAAGCCTCCAAGAAAAATATGAATTGGTCCCAGACCATGAAGAGCTCAAAAAGGATTTAGAGAAGCAAGTAAGAGAAGTAGAGGAAAAATTGGGAAGAGAAATGAGAGTGATGCAAGAAAATCATGAAAACAAGTCAACAGCTTGCTAAAGGAGATCCAAAAAATACTAAAGAAACTAACACTTTAAAAAATAGCCAAACCCAAATGGCAAAAGAGTTCCAGAAGAACTTTGGATAGGGATAGAGAGCCAAAGCAGGCTGGTTTGCCTTGAGGTTGAAGGTAACAAGATAAGGCAATGAGTATTTATTAAGTTGGCTTACTATGTGTCAGGGTAGCTATTTGGTACAGTGGACAGAGAGCCTGGAGTCAGGAAGACCTGAGTTCAAATCTGCCCTCAGATATTTACTAGCTATGTGATCTCGGACAAGTCACTTAACCCTGTTTGCCTCAGTTTCCTCATCTGTAACGTGAACTGGAGAAGGAAATACTTTAGTATCTTTGCCAAGAAAACTCCAAGTGGGGTCATGAAGAGTTGAACATGACTGAAAATGACTAAACAACAACAATCACCGCCATGTGTCAGGTCCTGCACTAAAGTGCTTGGGATATAAGGACAAACAGAATGAAGGACAATCCCTGCACCCAAGGGGTTTACATTCTAATGAGGAAGGACAACATACAAAGGGAACTGAAAGGAATAGGGATAGGGTACTGAGGCAAACAGAAGTTAAGAGACTGAGCAACTCATGGTCACACAGCTAGTAAATGCCAGATAAGACTCAGGTCTCTCCCAGCTCCACTCTGAACTATTTCAATTTTACTGTACCACGCTGTAATATTGCATTTTAGGGGTAAGTTGATTCCCAATTTACCTTCTTACTTTCAGGATCCTCATGTGGCTATAATTAGAGGTCTCAAGAGGCAGAGGAGATAGAAGCTAGGTGGCTATGTTATGTAGAGTTGAGGGCCCCTAACTCTGACACATACTTTGGTTGTACTTGTATATCAAGGTTCTCCGAGAAGAACTTTGTAATCTATTGTGTGAGACATGGGAGACACTGGCGCAGGACTGCCCAGCATGTGTGCCCACACCAAAGAAGATGCTGTGCTGCATGAGCAGAGCAGAATTGCGGTGGCTCAAAAGAAATGTGAGATGCTCAAATTTAGAACCATGTCCACTCCAAATGTCAAATGGACTATTTGTGCCCGACCTGTGGTAGAGCCTTCCCAGCTCATGTGATTAGCCGCAGTCTGGCACACTGTACCTTGACCCCAACATAGCGACGTCATTTTGGTCCCCCTGGAGAAGGAAGGAAAACGACCAGCCATGAATGTATCTGAGATTAGCCAAAAACTGTTATCTTACTGTTACTAACTAGTCAGTATTTAACTGGTTTGAGCCAGTTTTATTATGGAGTTTTTTTGTTTTTTTTAAACAACTGTTTCACATTATGGATGGTTTTTAGTTTTATTTTTTTATTTTTGGTAACTTTTTATATAACTCTTCTATTCTCCTTATATTTTCTAAACTTTACTGGTTGGCCCCAGAATGGGAAGAGGTTACTAGCCTACCTAGTCCCTTTGTGACCAAGGATAGACATTGGCGGTCTCTTGCTAACTTTGTGACTAGCAAACAAGTCATAGGATTCAGAGCTGGAAAGATCCCTAGAGACCATCTGATCCCTTCACCTTTCTGAGTTTCCTTTCTTCATCTTTAAAATATGGGGATGGGACCAAATGATCTCTTGGGCTCTGAGCAGCAGCTCTAGAATTTTGTAATTCTGTAAGGTCTTAGGCCAAATATAAGGGTGGAATTTGGGTATGG